AAAACACCAATGAAACACTCTCAACATTCAACCTACTTGAGAAACTATTGATTATAGAGGTTGAATGTCTTCAGTTTTAGTACAGTGATAATATAGACGCCAGAAAACATATAGAAAGATTGGTTTAGGTTTATTCAACTAAATGAAAAGTTTATTACTGAGGAAGTGAGAGACGTAGGGCATACTAATAAAGACAGTGTAGTAAAATTTTAGAATACTATTTAACCTACAGCCACTTGTGAAGTGACACTGATCTCGTAACATTCAGAAACCAGTAATCATTTGAATGTTGTAACACTGTATTGCCCTAATAGAGGGTCTCGAATGTCTTCAATAATAATCTTAGTAAAATGATCCACTAAATGTTAGTAGTGTCAATCAAATCTATACAACAACTCAAGGTGGGATAAATTATCATGAAACAAAACGGAGGACGATACATACAGACAGTTGAGAAATAAAGCTCACTTGGTATTGGACAAGAATGGAATCTAGGGAGTGCGTTTCTCACCGGCATCATTACTCACTGGAGTGCAGATACATCCAGCTGACGAGTGCAAAATGGGATGAAACACACGTCCTGGATTCTACTACTAGTCAGCACGAAGTAAATTGTAGCTATATATAGGCATCGGTATAGGAGTTTATATGCCAATAGAGGTTAATCAATGCAATCCAGTATAACAACAGCGAATTTCAAGTGTATAAACAAATAATGCGAAATAGGAAATTACAAAAGTCTGAAAGAAAAGAAAAATCTTATTCCAAGGTACATGTAAAGCACAACAATTATCTACTGTCAACCTGATTTAACATTTAGTTATAAAGAGAAATTCTCGTACTTTAATAATCCATGTAACATAAAGGATGGTGATACAACTGACATTTTATGATTGCCAGGTCCACTACAATCTTATTACAATTATAATCATCTCACCTAATGAAGAGAGCTATTCAAGGACTTTGTAAAGATATCATAGTTGTACATCACAAGAATACATGATGCTTCCTGACAAGCACTATGACTGATTATTGATTTACAGAATAAATATCATTCATTTTCTGTTTCACTAATCGGGGACCTGTTCAATTCTGACTGTTGTCCAGAATAGTTTGAAAGGTGAATACAACAGATGATACAAATGCGTTTATAAGGTTAATCAACTGAAGTTTACCTTCTTTTCAGTGTCATCATTGTGCAGCGAAATGACCCAACCTGCTACCCTTATCACGTAGAAGGAGAGAAAATTTAAGTTGCATACAGCATGTCTAAAATTGTGGAGTCACCAGATATGAATCCGGACAAGTAATTATGTCCAAGACAGTGTCCAGTAAATGATACCGTCTAACTGCGTAACACATCTTATAAAAAGACTGTAATCTATCACAGTGTCAAAGTTTTACTCCTCCTATATTAATTAAGAAGGATCTATCTAGCTGCCAGGTTGGTCTAATTTCACCTTACCAAAGCAAATGTTATTTGCACAGTTTATTTGACAATACCCTGCCTGATGTTGGACAATGCATCAACAAACACCATCGCCATCTACACACTACAAATGTTTGAAAATGTCATCGAGGGTAGATTTAAAGAGGAATGAACCAACTGTACAACACTATTGACAGTTTGTTATGTTAAAAATAAGTGCTGTTGTAGCCTGCCTGACTTTATGTCATTCATTTGTACAGAAGACTATAAAGTTGCTGGTAACTAAGAGAAATCACAAGCATCAACAGCACATCTGTTTGCCTAGAACTCCGTTCATACTCAAGAGAGAGGATCCCTACATGGTAAATTCATTCATAAAATAAGTGGAAGTCAACTTACAACTTGTGCATTAGTATGACAGATAGTTGTTTGTTTAGTGAAAAAGTGACCAAAATATTTAGATAGGATGAAGTAGAGGATTCAGAGTTTGATGATTTACCATCATTGTCGTGAAGAAGGAGAGAGAATTGGAAGTATATGAAGTATTTGTCAAGGTTGTAAAGTTACTTGATCTGACTATGGACAATTTATAGACAACCTAACCAAGTTGGGATTTGATGGTTTAAAAAATGTGAGAATTGGATAAATGATATTCTGTATTTTGCTTTTATATTTCGAAATCAATATATAACAAAATGAATTTGTCTCAACTGACACTTCAGTGTTTAGCGCTAACAGCTTCATGAAAGTTATAGTAAACTGGATCTTACAATATCTTCGAAGCTAATATATGATAACTTGACAAGTGTTCCCCTACATGAACGGTTCTGCGTTGTCAGAATCATAAAATAAAGATGATATCCATATAGAGTGTGTTGTGAATGTGAAGAGTGTATGAATTACACATTGAGATTCGTTTGTACACGCATGTTGATAGTTTTTATCACATCCATATATGTTGCTTGTGTCAGTATGTGGGGGTGGGTTGACATCAGGTCAAACTACATTTTACTCCCTCATTCCTATTTAGACAATTATGATTCCACTATGTATGTGAACAGATTCTACCATGAGACGTTCATTATAATTTCTCAATCATTTCTGAATAATTTCGATGTTGTCGAAATCTAACTTTGTGACCTGTAGTTATAGTGTGTATAGCTATGGCTAGTGTGTTTTCAGGTTTTTTCAGTTCCACTGGATTTCTAAGGGGTAGGGTGGAAGATCTTCAGTGTTCATTTTTTTCAACTTTGGATTTCATATGAAGTTTTACCGATGTCTGTTGCATCACAGTCTCAGCATTTTATTTTATAAACACAATTAGATTGTTAATCTAGAAATTAAGGTGCTCTGTAATGTAAGAAACTTGAGGCAACAGAAACTTTTCCATTAATTGAATGTGGTGGGTTGGAATCGAAATTGTTATTCGAATGCGTTGCTTTCCTGATAATGATTAGACCGAAAAGTCCACTTTTTCCACTTAAGAAGACAATCAAGGAGGGGAGATCCTCCCTTATGCATTTCTTCTTCTGATGTGAACTTGATACTGAGAGATTTAGAGTTCAGCCGATCTTAGAATCCCTGGTATAAGTCAGGTTCTCAAATTACGAGTGTCTTATCAACATATCTCAGCCAAAATTTTGGCTTTAGTAAGTGAATTAAGACACATTCTTCAAATTTACTCGTTAACAGGTTAGATACTATTGATGAAACAGGTGAACCCACAACAATATCATTAGTTCAATTTTTGAGGGAGTTGTGGAGATATGGAAATATTTCAAGTTCTTATTCATCGTAGACTGACATCAGTTGGATGAACAAAGGAAACCTGGGAGCACTGGACAGCTGTTTTGTCCGAGCAGTATGGAACTTCTCAGCAGTGCGCACCCACGACTCCGCACCACCAGGGATCGATCCTGCGACCTTTAGGTTCCGTGGCCAGCGCGTTACCATTGAGCCAATGAGTCAGAATCCAATGCTCCATATTTCCAACTTCTGTTAGCTCACGATATAGCGCAACTGCCACCCAGTGTCATCGTTGAGTAACTGTCCTCACGACCATCACGACTTCTCATTGCAACTTCGGGAATACTTCTCGAAGCTGTCCAGTGCTCTCAGGTTTCCTTTGTTACTCCAACTGATGTCAGTCTACGATGAATAACAACTTGAAATGTTTACTTTTTATTTAAATGTAAAGTAAGTAGTCTCTAAGCAAAATTTTAGGGTCTTGATGATGTCACTTGTATTCAGTAGACATCTTTCTATCACTGTTATGTCTGAGTGTAATAAATTTGAAATAATGTCCAAGTAACTTTTTATCTCAACACTAATATATAAAAAAATTGATGTCATTGCTTACCATAATTTCATTGTCCTTAATTTTAAGTGAAGAAATTTTGGATTCAAAATCAAATAAGTAGTTTATTGTGTATACTGAGTGCTTATAAAGAGGTTAAAGTAATGAAAAAATTGTAAACACTTCAGCCATAGCTATACACACTATAACTACAGGTCACAAAGTTAGATTTCGACAACATCGAAATTATTCAGAAATGATTGAGAAATTATAATGAACGTCTCATGGTAGAATCTGTTCACATACATAGTGGAATCATAATTGTCTAAATAGGAATGAGGGAGTAAAATGTAGTTTGACCTGATGTCAACCCACCCCCACATACTGACACAAGCAACATATATGGATGTGATAAAAACTATCAACATGCGTGTACAAACGAATCTCAATGTGTAATTCATACACTCTTCACATTCACAACACACTCTATATGGATATCATCTTTATTCTACAGTTCTGATAATTATAATTTGACTATCTGAGATAGCCGTAGTTTGGGAGACTGGTACCCATACTGGTTGATGATTGAAGATGAGATGAAAATCTGGACCGTAGCGGGATTCCAAACAGCGACCACTGGGTTATCAGCCGGGTGCACTGCCAACTGAGCTATGAGGTCCAACTGCTCACCAGATTTTGATTTCACTTCAATCACAAGGCGAGGTTTTGCTTGATTACCATGTGAATTCGTGACGCGTTACCACCGCTTGATCGTATTCACACTGGCTGCCTAGTCAGAACTTCTCATCTCAATCCAAATGTAACTGAATCAGAGAGGGGGGAGCATCATATTAATTTTCCCTTGACTATCTGAGATAGCTGTAGTTTGGTAGACTAGTATTTATACTGGGTGATGATTGAGAATCAAGTTGGACAAACACGTATGTGTAACTTTGTGTTACCAGTCATCTGTATGACTAGCTATTTTATCCTACACACTAATTATATAACTACCCTTTTATCTTTGAGTTTTCTAGTAGTGAATATATATATATATCCGTGTGTGGGTGTTATTAAGTTGAAGCTCTCGAATTTTACCAAATCGAATTACAGCAGAAACAAAATTATCTTTTCTATTGCTTGCTATTATAATTTGTTAATCATCGGTCATCTCTCTCTCTCTCTCTTCAATTGGTATTCCTGTGAATTAATATGTGTTTCAACCTTCATTTACCCCTTTCTATGCCATTGATGTTAGTTAGTACACCACCATCGCCAAATATCACTGAAACTCAGACTAACTAAGAATGGATGACATTATTTCTCTGTGAGGTTGAAAAATTATGAGACTAATTATTTCCAACTGATAGAAAATGGAAGAAATTATGAGAATAAGTCATTCCCTTGTAAATAGTCCATACTTGTATACATGTATATGATTGTAATGTGTATAAATATGCGTATATAAATAGATCAGTTTAGCTAGTTGACTTCTCAATTTCTTAATTATCAAATTGATATCTGTTTTTACAATAATAACAAACCATATTATCCTTCTAGGATTGAAGGAAATATCTTCTTACTGTCATACTGAAATCTATTCACACTTTACTATCATGTTGAATACAAATGAATTAAGAAGTAACTCTAAGAAAGTGTTTACTGGACGTTTATTAATTTGTCTATTCAGTCTACTAATAGTCACTAGGCTCAGTTATGCTGTAAGTAAATCTTTTTATAAAATATTCTTATATATAAATAATTATGATGATAACAATTGGTATTTTATAAAAATATATTCTTAAGTGTTATACCTTATATGTATATATGTGGATATGCTTTCTTCATCACCGATTTGATTAATGTCCATTTATTGTTTGCTAAATAAACACTGAAACACGTTTTTCTCTCTCGGTATAAGTTATGAAATAATGTTCAGAGAAAAATATTGTTTGTCTAACCATTCGCTTAAAGGAAACATTATTAAAACATTGAATAATCAATAATAAATTCATATGAAAGTTAGTATCAACTAACTTTCAAGTCACTGAAAGACCTGGGAGCACTAGATGGCTGTTTCGTTCTAGTGAAGGACTCTTAAGTGGCGTGTACTCATGACTTCACTAGGGATCGAACTCAGGAGTAGATTTATCAATAAGTTATTGAATAGGAATCTAACAGTAAACATTTTTCTACCTCTTTCAATTCACTGTATCATATAACTATCATCCAATATTATCGCCAAGTATTTGCCTCCATATTTGACTTGGTTGATAGAGTAGGTGATGATTTCTCATTAGAACTTCAAGAATTTCATCTTGAAGGATGACGGTAACGACCACTAAACATTATTTACCATCCAAAGCTAAACAATGAACCCCAACATTTAAACGAAATTAGTTTGTATAGATAGACAGAGATGTGTATATTTCCTCATATTAAATCATGGCATATAGAACTAAGTATGTAGACTGTTCAACTGAAGAGCTCATATGAAGTTTATGAATTCAATTAGTCCCCAGATTTTAAAGTAATGATGTATATTGGCTAGCAACAGAATCCAGGACGTGCGTTTCGTCTCTTATGGGACATATAAGATGGGCGTACATACCTCAACGATAAAGTAATGGGATAAATACCTGGACGGCTAAGTCTTTAATACCATGGAATGTACATTGAAACCAATAACACAGTATCAGGTTCTTCATGGTTTCAGAAACAAATTGACTACTTAGATGCCTACAAGCCCAAAATATAGATGTAGGACTTCATACTAATAACACCCAACATCACAAGGAGGTGCTCCACAGCATCGCATCGCTTACTATAGTAATCAGTGTGAAAAAATATTCGACTAACTTAAATTATTGCTAAGCACATTGATTTTAGTACTTACATGAGACATTTTTAGACAATTAGTTCATTAAATAATTTTATACTGAGTGCTAGTTGACGGTAAAATAGGAATTTGAACCGCTGCCGGATTTCATTCACTTACCAGTCGGTTTCCGGCTCGATGCTCTACAATATGAGCTACAAGGTACGACTGCTGACCAGATTTTTATTTCACTTCGGCTTAATTACCAAGGGTTTTACCCAATCACCATGCGAATTCATGACGCGTTACTATCTCTTGATCGTACTCACACTAGCTGCTCAGTAGTGACTTCTCATCGCAATTCAGTCCTTCACCTTCAATCATCAAGTGACAGTAACATGTCACGAATTCACATGGTAGTCGAAAAAACTCTTGAACATTGAAGTGAAGTAAAAATTTGGTCAGCAGTCGGCTCTGGTAACTCATTTGGTAGAGCATTGAGCCAATGGTTGGAATACGGCAGCGGTTCAAATTTTCATTTCACCTACAATCATTACCTAGCATCTGTACTAATTATAATTTTCTGTAAGTGACTTGAGGCTGCATCGCTCAGCACCGAGATCAGATATGTTATTATTTTAACCTACTCAATAGACATTCGATTTCATGATCATGTAAGTGAATCTGAAATGTTTTCGGTGTTGATCGAATTCTACCGATAGATGTGGTAAAGTGAACAAGATACTCGAACGAACTGGAGAGGTGATTTGAAAGGAAAAATGATGAAATCCTACAAGTCAACATTTCTGTATGTTAGAATAATACCAACAGTCATACTGATAGCAAGTGAAGCACAATATATTCGGTAACGTTTTTCCTCTTTTGATAAAACTACTAGTAAGTAGACTATATGGTTCTCATATATTTGAGCAGATTCAGTAAAAGGTTTTGTGGCGACTTTTACTCTACAACAATCCTTAAGTTTTTCATCAGTAGTCGATTTTAACTACAGAATTATATATGTATGTTTGTTTTCGAATCAAATGCCTGAAAGTAGAAATTACAACAGAGTACTTTGTTTAAATAATCCTTCAAAATACCAGGTTCTAAACTTCTAACATTGATAAAATTACGTATAAAGCAAACAGTTCCACTAAGCACTAATTGGTCACTGGAGGGTAACCAACTTCGTATTGTCTAGTCCTATGCGCTGACCGAATTTTATCAATCATTTTTCCAATGTGGCCACTAGACTAGGCAGCTCAGTATCGCAGTGCAACTTCGATGTATGTTAGTTAGACGGAGAAATAGCTCCGAACAGCTCGGTGGTAACGTCGCTGGCTAAAACACTGGATGATGCGGTCTGAGTCTCAGGTAGGACATCAATTTTGTCGGTCTTGTTGATACGCCTTGCTGACTAATGTCAACAAAGACGAAATCTGTCGATTGCCTCCATTCAATTAACAGTTCCACCAAGCGTTACATTGTATTCGGTGAGGTATTATCCACCAGGACTATCTAGCTATTCAAAAACCTGATGTCATTTATCAAAATTCTACTCATTCAAAGCATCTCAGTTATCCATTTAGCAATAACAAAGTGGAGTAAGCTATTCATATTTACAATTAGACATTCAAGGTTCACCTGGTAGACATTTTAAATACTGCTTAAAAGAAGTATTAGGGTTTCAGATGACCGGAAATATCCATCTAATTCAATACTCGTGGCTGACACATGCATAATTTAAACTGAATTTTGACAATTCTTAATTTATTTTGTTTTAATTTAACCTATTTAATGGTTTCTTTAACAAATATGGTCTTTATTTGACCAAGTGAATGATATTTGACAGACTCACTTCAAATGACTAGTGAGGACTAAACTAGTAACTTTATCAAGAACAGTCACCAAAACGGCTTCATTTCCAAAATTATCTAGTGGTTATGTTGTAAATTACTTCAACAGTTATAATCTGATATGTGATTTAATAATGATGTATTCATGAAACGAATCCATAACAGTGAATCTGAATTCTTTACACTTTTGATCTTTGTAAGCGGGATTCTTTTCTGAAGTTCGCTGTCATTCGATTGAATGTGTGTAGAATTCTAATCCAATAGTATCGCTTTCATCTGAATGAAACACAACTTTACAATAACTTTATTCCTAGGAGGTATCAATAACTATCTACTGGTTTCAATCTTTGTTCGCAGTGAAAATTCTGTTTTAAAAGCCATACTTCGACATTTTGATAGTTGTCATCAGTCAATTTAGTTTGCACTTTAATCTCAGACGAAGCTTCAGTGTTACTGTCTTAAGGGAAGAAGAAATGATTTATTTCAAAGACAAGTTTAGAAGAAACTAATACAGATGGACAGTGGGAACATATTTTTGTAGTTGAATGCCTCCTTAGAAGAAAGGAAGCCAGTTTGAACATGTTCGGGAAACAGATAAATCTGTACGTGAGATAAAGCTTGTAACTAAAATAATATATTGATTGATCTTCTGTAGTTCCGAAGGAAAGTTTCTTCTTGAGTGACGAGATAAAAAAATGCCATGATAACGGAAATCTTGCAGATATAACTATCATAGTATTATCCTCTTTTCTTATCGACAACTAATACTTGGAAGGGTCAAGAAAGAATATACTCCCTTGTTGAAGAGCCAGTGTAATTTAAGTAGTTTACTGGTTTCTCTACCGGATAAGCGTCTTCTTTCCGATCTCATGTAAAAGTATTATCCGTTGTGTTGCCAAGGAGAAAATTAATGTTGGTTAGTAGTTCAGTACTTCAAGAGCTGAATAGTTCCAGTAACAGAGGCTTACTGTTGTTGTATTTTATGATTTTCTATAAAGTCATAACAAATCATTCAAAATGTATGCGATTTCACAAATTATCAGTACATACTAAAGACGGATAACTCATGAAAGTAAGCCAGATTTCTTCTAATTCTATCTTGGTTCTTACCCCATTCCTATAGGTCTTTTAATCGTTGTTCCACTGACGTTGCATCCACTATGGTTCTTGCTTCTCTCTCCATTTTTATTTATCTGAGAAATAAAGACCTGAATAGCATACTTCATGTCCAGAAACAATCTGTCTCTTCACATTTTATGATATTCTGTTTGTTTCTGTAACAAAATGGATTATTTAGAAGTAGTATTTATTATGAAATGATATCAGTTGGGGAACCATTGAAAATCTGGGAGCACTCGACAGCTGTCTCGTCCAACTACTATGGGAATCCTCAGTAGTACGCACCCACTACCCGGTTACGGGTCCAACTCACGACCCTCAGATTTCATGGCAAACGCGTTAACCATTCAGTCACTTTGTCGGTTTCTGGTGGTTCACAATTTCCAACTTCTGTCAATTCACGACATAGCACCACTGTCACCCAACGTCTTCAATTAGCATCCACTTCACTTCTGACTGGTTGACCCCACAGGTCATGACTTCTCATTAGAGCTTCGTGATATGCATCTGGAAGCAAGTCACTAATGAGCACTATAGAGTTATGTATTTTTGAGATGAATGGAGATTTTTAATTTAGAAGTAGTATTCATCATGAAGTGATATCAATCCGATTGATAGCCGGGTAGTGGGTGCGTACAGCTGAGGAGTCCCATAGTAGTTGGATGGAACAGCTGTCCAGTGCTCCCAGATTTTCAATGGTTCTCCAACTGATATCATTCCATGATGAACACTAACTCTAAATTAAAATCCCAATTCATCTCAAGAATGAATTACTCCCGAAAATTCTCAATGTATATACTCAATTTCTTTCAATCTATTATTTGCCTAACAAACTATTAGTGATTTCTAGTGATTAGTAATAGAATTGTAGAGTTTAAGTAAATGATCTTATGTAAAAAAAAAGGATTTCACTTGATAGAATTATCTCTACTCTTCTCCTTTCTTCTCATCTTCATTTTCATAGTTTCATTATTTTAATCAATAATTCAGTTATAATGACATCTGACCTTAATTGTTTAATAGTAATTAACTGATTGATGAGAACTTTTAAAGATTAATCATGTTTTCCTTTGTTTTAATAGGACAGCTTTCTTTTTATATGTAGAATGTTTTTGTCTGAGCTTGAGCTTTTTGTAGTTCAATGCTTTTAAAGTTAAAATGCTTTGAAGAACTACTGTACTTATATTTTACTATTATTATTATTATTATTATTACTATTATTGTTAGTTGTTGTTGTTGAACTGGTATCAGGATCATCAGCAGTCACTGTATCATATTAAAACTATGATAAACTTTCAAATTTAGATCCATTACAACAGAGTTTATCTCTGTGTAAGGAAGATGAGTCAAATTGATCTCAGGATAGCAAAATTTAGGTGCTCTAGCACTATACATACATCTTTATTAACATAATGAAGCGAAACATCTTCACTATCTGTTAAAAAATATACACTTTAATCATAAGGTAATATTAAATGATAAGTAAATTCAATACTTGGCTACTATTTATTTAGCTGACATTTTGACAATACAATACACTTAGTAGCAATTTTCATCTTAAAATGTAAATTTAATAGAATGAAAAGGGGAGAGAAAGCTTACAGTGTGTTAAATATAGGATAAAATAAGTAGAAATTAATTATTAATCCATATAAAAAAAATTAGGAGAGTCTGAAGTGAAAGTAAACGCATTCAAATGAACTGCGATATCAGGTGTACTTAACGTACGTGATAGTAAAGTCAGTTTTAATATCTTTTTGCCTCTCTGTGAGAAGTTATCCTTTTCGGTGCCTATACTGGATACAGCAATTCATCTTTCATTGGTTAGATCATCATCTAATTTATACTACATATTATTATGATAATCGCGTATTCATTTTAAGATTTGTGGAGAATTAGATGATTTCAAGGAGATTCCTATTTATAGTGAAGCTGAACAGCTGAAAATCTGTTATTTCCTAGTTTTCAGAATTTTTTTTAGTGATGTTTCACTCTCTTATGAGGTATGAAAATAAGGCCTTCAGGTTTTGCCATGAGATCCGATAGTTATAGGGATTTACTTTACAGAAGTGTTCAAATAAACTTTAATGACGGTGAATCATGTTCAAGTATGCACTTCTCAATCAGAACTAAGAGTTTATAGGACAGTGTAGTTATTGAGGTAAATGATACTTTATTTACAATTTTTTTATTATGTTTTGTATAAGAAATAAAGGTATTTAGCTTTTAAATAGGTTTTTCATCTTTGAAATCATACTATTATCGGGATTCCCATCAGTCACTATGAGAGGATATCATTTGAATGATATTCGGGAAATCTTGTGTAGTAATCCCGTTAAAAGTCTTCAGAACTCTCTAAGATGTTTATTTGTACTCCATTTATTCAATGAATCAAGTGCTTTTAGTGAAAAGTAGCTTGACGGTGGGCAACATATTTCAGATGAAAGCATCTATGATTTCCAAGTGTCTGTCTATACTGTAATATGCATTGCCAAGTATTTTGCACAACTGTCAAGATAGACATTTCTGATCGATCTTGTACCCACTGAAAATATCCTTTCTTCGTATTTTGGTCATATTTTCCAAGAATGTGTAGTTTACAAAGACAAGTGTATGTAAGGTATAACTCACCCAGTCTTATTTTAATCACCTTCATAGGTTATATTCAAGTTTCCAAATAAGGAATTCATCTATTTCAACCACATTACTCTCTGTAACAAGTTCTGTCAACGGTGTACGCGGTGACAATAACATGGTAAATGGATGTAACCAATATCCTTGAATAAATCATCTCTAACCTGGCTCGTTTTCCTCAAGATTTTCCAACAATAAAGTTTAACTGTTTTATTGCTCGTGTTATACCATTGTTGACTGGACCGAATTGGTTGATCTCTATTGGCATACAGGATCCTGTGAAGATGCCTCGTAATACCTGTGTTCTAATTATCGTAAAGATGGATATTGGCTTGCAGTGGAACCCAGGATGCGCACTTCGTCCTATTTGGAACTCGTCAGCCAGATGTACTTGCTTCCCAGGGAGTGATATTGTTCCCACTGGGATCCCCTGTCTGGGAGGTAGGTACATCCAGCTGACGAGTCACAAATAGGACGAAATGGGCATCCTGGATTCCACTGCCAGCCACTATCCATCTTTATTATTAAAGTTTAACTGTTCAATGCATAACTGCTAGTGGTTGATTGGACCGAATTGATAGGTCTCTATTGGCATATGAGCTCCTGTGAGGATCCCTCGATATTACCTGTGTTCTAATTGCGGTAATGATGGAAAGTATTTTGGTTGTGAAACACGGGTTCATCAGTTTTATTTACATTAATATAACCTTATGGTATTTCACAGAAATAATTTATGTTTCTTTTCAATCAGATTCCCACGCATGAGAGTGCCTACCGCCATCATACAACTCATATGTATCAATATCCCAGACCATATGATGGACATGAACATGTAGACGGTGAAGTAAGAAGCCATGAATCTGAAATTGATGGAAATGATAAACGTTCATATTTTGATCCAATAGCGTTTAAACGTACATTTTTTGATCCTATCGCATTCAAACGAAATTTTGATCCAATTTTATTTAAGCGTACTTTTGATCCTATCCTATTTAAACGTACCTATTTTGATCCAATTGCGTTTAAACGATCCTACTTTGATCCGATAGCATTTAAACGCAACACTGATCATTCATTTGAAAAACGTGAAATGTTCGATCCTATTATGTTTTGAAAAGATAGAAATAACTTTTTTGTCTGTTGAATATAACAAATGTAATCAGTTAACAAAAATATACACTTCAAGTTGATCATTTTAATATTGATATATTCTCTTCATTTTTTTCATTTATTGTAACGTTATAATGATGATGATGATGATATATTATTTCCAGAAGACATTTTTGAAGATTTTAAACACTGAATTTAATTAGATACAATGTTTGTTTTTCTATCATAGTAGTAAAGGGTCAACAATACAACTTCAACTTACACTTACAATGATAGAAATTACACTCTATAGTCATTTCTAACATTTATCACGGATGAAGATATTCTTTATCCGTTTGATGGCTATAATTTAAAGAATAATTAGGGTTTTAAATGAATCGGCTGCGAGTAAAATCACCAATTAAAAGCAGTTTATATATCTACATATTTTATAATGATAATTACTGAAGAATGATTAGACTGGTTATCACTATCTGTTTAACGTCTCATATTTGAGATTGACTGTGACTATGACTAAAAAAGTCTCAGTTTCAATCAGATTTTGGTCTATTAATTTCCACGCTTATTGACGTCTTTGCTATACATTGAAGGAGCTTCAAAGATTATCTTGTCTTCCTATGTGATAGATCAATTATCTGTGATTTTTTTCATTGACAAAATATAGTAATTCACTTCATATTTGTAAAGATATTGCAATGATATTACCATGCAGTTATCAAATAAAGAATCGAATTAAATTCCATCAGATTTCGTTTATCAGTCGAACTGATTTCGGATATCAAACAAGTGGATGAGAAAGCTTCAATAAGCAGTCGGTTTGCCTTCCATATTATTTCTTTCATATAAATGTTTTGTTACCTCCAGAGGACTGAAGACAGTCTAACAAGTTCCAGGGAAATCAGTCTGTATAAATATGATACAGTAAACCGTTTTCAATCATTGTTTACTAATCCTAGTGACGAACAGCTACTGATATTCGGTTGTTACCTAGTGTTTATGCGTTGGGGATAAATTCAATTTTAAAATTTACAATACCATCTAATAATGTACGAAAAATAGCTTTCAATAAGTTGGACAGTGCGAAAACCTCAGTGAAGAAACAGTAATTAACAATTGTATTGCTTCTATATAGTTCAAAAACTCGGCGTGTCACGAAAAGCACCTCCAACAGACTGCAGACATACATCAACAACTGTCTACGCTCCCTCGTTACTGAAGATCAGATGGCTAGAAAAAATAACCAACAAGGGACTCTGGCCGGAGAACAAACCAACCAAGAACCTATCACTCAGAAAACATGCAGAAGAAAGTGGAGATGAAATGGGCATACACTGAGAAGGCCACCTAGGGACATCAAGCACCAGGCCAGGCCCTTGAGGGGAACCCAAAGGGGAAACGACGAGTTTGGTATCCGAGGTGAGGGTCACATGGAGGAGATGGTGTGAGGAAGAAATAAAAGCTTGTGGGCAGTCGTGGTGGTAGGTTCAAACGACTAAAGAGAAGAGAGTGAACAGCTATTGAAGCCCTATTTTCCACTGGGAACCCAAGAGCCAAATAACAAATAATAATGTATTTTTGAGATGAATGAGGATTTTAATTTAGAAGTAGTATTCATCATGGACTGATATCAGTTGGAGAACCATTGAAAATCTGGGAGCACTGGGAGCACTGATGTCAGTCCATGATGAATATTACTTCTAAATTGAAATCCCCATTCATCTCAAAAATACATAACTCTATAGTGCTCATTAGTGACTTGCTTCCAGATGCATATCACGAAGCTCTAATGAGAAGTCATGACCTGTGGGGTTAACTAGTCAGAAGTGAAGTGGATGCTAATTGAAGACGTTGGGTGATAGTCGCGCTATGTCGTGAATTGACAGAAGTTGGAAATTGTGAACCACCGAAAACTGACCCAGTGGCTGAACGGTTAATGCGTTCGCGATGAAACCTGAAGGTCCTGAGTTCCATCCCTAGCCGAGTTGTGGGCGCGTACTGCTGAGGATTCCAATAGTAGTTGGACGAGACAGCTGTCGAGTGCTAGTAGATTTTCAGTGGTTCCCCAACTGATGTCAACCCATCATGAATGCTACTTCCAAAATAAATAATAAAAAAACTGTACTGCTGAGGCCATGCAACCTCACTCACGTATAGTTTTCATTTTGCAAACAGTTCAATTCCTTTGATATTTATAACACTACTTGAGCAAAGCAATAACAACGAATTTCGCACGATACATCAATTCACAGTATTTCTCCACCTCCCCTATGAGTGCTGTTGTGCTATAGGACTTATAGGATATATACGGATACTTGTGAAGATGAACTCAATTGGTTGACAGGAAAATAGTCTGCTGATAAAAGTTAATTAGATAAAAGATATAGAAATCAGAGAAATTCGAATGAAGTTAGTTATTAACTAAAACCACAGTTTTGTAATGCTTATGTAGTTGAATTGTCGTTCTGCTTCTTGTGAGAAATGGAAATATGAAGTTGAAAAGATTTCGAAAGCCTCTGCAATAAATTAGTCATCTAAACACAGGATTACATTGATTGGTCTAGTACTGAGTGCTGAGCGACTTCTATCGATCGTTTTGCAATGTGGCTATCAAGCTAAGAGGCTCGCTGTTGCAGTGTACTTTGATAGGTAGTAGTTGGTTGGAGGCAATCGAGAGAAAGCTCTGGACCTAGGTTTTGTGCTTGTTGGCACTCGTCAGCAGAGCGATCCGAATAGCTCCGTGGTAACATCACTGATTGCAACGCTGGACGACTTGGGTTCGAATCTCAAGAGTGGGGTTGCAGATAATCCCGGCTGACGGGCTCAAAAAATCATGAAATCTAGGTTGACGGCTGCTTGGTGATTGCCTTCAGCTAACTCATAAACACAAGCCAAATTAGATTCGGTCCGAAAATAAATTTGTGGCACTAAAATGGTAATAAATTTCGATCTCAGGTTTGAAAAGGAAATGGGGATATAGAAATTAATTAGAATAAGAAAAATATTTACAAAGGCTTGTGGCAAATAGCAAAACTTAACTAAGGGAAGGTAACACTTAACTCCTGGGAAAGATTCACAGAGGCAAACCCTATCAGTAGAATAACAAACCAACTCGTAGAGGAGTTATTCACAAGGTTTACGAATAGGAATGAAAAAGAAGAAATGTTTAAGTCAAGACTTCTGTTATGCAACTGAATTGAACATACTTTGCCTTGAACAAGTTTAGTTGCACTTCGTAGATAGTTCTCAAAACAGATGTATTTGAGATTGAATAATCATCATCTAGGAGTTTTTAAATTATTGCGCTTCATTTGGACGCATTAAAACTTCTAATCAATCCACAGGATAATGTAACTGAATGCCATTTGGCAGAATGTTCATCGGACGAGTGGTTTACTTGGTTCTATAGAGACAGGTGAACGGATATTCATACGTGACAGCTGGCATAAGCAGGATCTATTCTGTTAGACTGTTTACCGTCTTCATTCCAAATTAGTATGTGATATTTATACTAATGAATACAATGGCAAAGGATATTTCGGTAATAATGCACAGGAATTTCGGTATGTCGTATAGCATCAGTTAGACAGAAACTGTGTATATGTGTGCAGAGTAAGATAAAATAAACAGAGATTATATTTTTGAAGATCTACAGGCGAAAACTAACAATTTGACAGAAGCGGTAGGGAAACGAAGACAGGACTTCAAGTGAAAGTACAGAAGACAGAGGTAGTGAAGATGCTCACTTAACAACAACAAGCTCCAATCACCATCGATGGGAGAAATCTAAAGGAAGTTGTCTCTTTCACCTACCCACCTACCTAGGCAGCATCGTTTCAACTGCAGGCGGCACAGGCATAGATGAAGACGTCAAAGCCAGGATCGGAAAAGCAAACCAGGCGTTCACTAACCTGAAATCAGTGTGGAGATCTACTGCACTCAGCAGAAAGGACAACTTCCGGATTTTCAACACTAACGTACGTCAAGTCAGTGCTGCTATATGGTTCACAAACTTGGCGCGTCACAAGGCGCACCTCCAACAAACTACACACATTCATCAACAACTGACACATACACTCACTCGATACTGAAGATCAGACGGCCAGAATAACAAGAATAAGCAACAAGGAACTCTGGCACTAGATTCAAAACTACGACCGGAACAGGTTGGCTGGATTCAGGAAGTACAAATCATGTGCAGACCAAATTGTTACGCTTCGCATCATCATAAAACAGAGTATAGAATGGCAGTCCACTCTCTATCTCAACTTTATCGACTTTGAAAAGGCCTTTGACAGCGTCGACCAAGAAGTAACTTGGTAGTTGCTTCAACACTACGGAATACCACAAACCTTCATCAATCTCTTTCAACAACTATATGAAGAGGCCACATGCCAAGTAATTCACAACGGGAAGCTCAATGGTGCTTTTGAATTGTGGACAGGAGTGAAGCAAGGCTGCCTACTATCACCCATGATATTCCAGATTGTGATGGACTGGATCATGCAACATACAGTGGGGAGTGAGGAGAAGGGGATACGCTGGACTGGGAAAATGATCTAGAAGACTTGGATTTCGTCGATGACTTGTGTCTGATGTCGCTCAAACTTGAAGATCTACAGGAGAAAACTAACAAGTTGGCAGAAGAGGCAGGGTGGCGAAGACGGGACCTCAAGTGAATATAGAGGAGACAGAGGTGATGAAGATACCCAACCAACTCCACCACCACCACCAACAACAACAAGCTCCAGTCACCATCAACGGGAGAAACTTAAAGGAAATAGTCTCTTTCACCTGTCTAGGCAGCACTGTTTCAGCTACAGGCGGCACAGGCATAGATGAGGACGTCGAAGTCAGGGTTGGAAATGCAAACCAGGCGTTTATTAACCTGAAGCCAGCGTGAAGATCTTCTGCACTCAGCATAAGGCATGAACAACATCCGGATTTTCAACACCAACGTAAGTCAGTGCTTCTATGTGATGTTTAAGAGACTTGGCGCGTTGCGAAAGGAATTTCCAACAAACTACAGACATTCATCAACAACTGCCTAAGCTTGCTCGTTACTGAAGCTCAGATGGCCAGAATGATAAGAATAAGCATCAAGGAACTCTGGCCTGACGATGAACCAACCAAGAAGCTATCACTCAACAGATATGCAGAATGAAGTGGAGGTCGATTTGATTGGGCATGCACTGAGAATGGCGACTGG